TGACCACTACCCCGAATTTGACATGTGCCATTCCCATGCATGCTTCTATCGTTTACCTTCATATGCACGCATAAACAATTTATAGTATTGTTTTAAATGTTTTAAAATTTTGCCTAAACATTATCATACTGTACCAATGGTTTGTTGTTGACACACCTTTGTTCTTTTCATTTGCATTCCCCAGTTACTATTGTGGTTCAACATCTTGTCATATGGGTATTTGCATTTGGATTTCCTCTTTTGTGGATTGTCTGTTCATGAAACGTTACCAACTTTTTTTCTATTGAGTTGCCTTTATTTAAAAATTCTTTTTAGAATTTATTTTATTCCACTTAAAATGATATTTGAAAACCATTAAAAAATACATAGAACATGTAAATAAAATACAAATACAATATTCTTTTGCCTTCTTTTCTATAAGCTTATTACATATGTTATACATTCCCATATGGTTTAGTTTTCCATGCTTTTGAAAACTTAACATAAATGGCATCAAATTGTATGTATTCTTTGCAACTAGCTTTTTTTTTTAGTCAATTTACAGCCAGTCTTTCCTCTTGGTGTCTATAGCTGTGGTTCCTTCATTGTCACCAATGATAAGTACTCCGTTGTGTGCTGCAACTGATGGATCCTTGCTACTGTGGAGGGACATTGGGCTTGCTCCTCATGCTACTCCGAACGTTCTTGTCTGTGTCCCCTGGAACACATTTGCAAGAGCTTCTCAGGGGCCTTCTACATCTAGGACTGAGACACTGGATCACAGGTGTGTGCACCTTCAACTTCACCAGATAATGCCAAACTGTTTTCTAAAGGCATTTTTTCAATTTTAACTCCCAACAGAAAAGTGTAAGTGTTCTGGTGTGTCACTTCTGCCCACATTTGATTTAGTCAGAATTTTTTTCATCTTTGTCAGTCTGGTAGGGGTAAAATGATGTCTCATTGTGTGATGATTTGCATTCCCTAACAGATCTTCTTTATTTAACCTGAGTAATACTCTTTTATCAGTTACATGTATTTGCAAATATATTCTTCTGGTCTGTACCATTCCATTTTCAATTAACTTTACTGAGGTATATTTATATAAAATAAGTATAATCAGTATGTCTGGCTTCTTTCATTTAGCATAATACTTTTCAGATTCACCCATGTTGTTTCACCTATCAACAGTTTGTTCCTTTTTATTGTCCAGTAGTATTTTATTGTATGGACATACCACATTTGTTTAGCCACTTACCAGCTAATGGAAATTTAGACTGTTTCTGATATGTGGCTATTAAAAATATCACTATTTTGAACATTTAAGTTGATGTGTGAAAATATGTTTTAATTTCTCTTGGGTAAATACCTAAAAGGGCCAAGTCATATGGTATGTGTATATTTAATTTTTAAAAACTGCTGAATCATTTCCTTTCTTGCACTTCCACCAGCTGCCTATGATAATTCTGTGGCTTCTGTTTGAACAAAAAGTTTGTGGCATCTTTTTCATACAGAACTTTAAAATTGTAGTGCAATCAGATATATCAATCTTTTTGTTTATGGTTGGTACTTTTAGGAATTTAGGATATTCTTCATTGCTCAGTTCCTCATATTGTGATTCTCCTATTTATAATTTTTTCTGAGAGGATTATTAATTTTTTTTCTCCAGAAAGGTCTTTTTTGACAACTCTCCATAGCAGTTCATACCATGTACACTATATCCAAAAATAAATCATTTGTTCTCACTACAGAGTAATGTGAAATGAGATTGAGGGTAAGAGCTCAAAGTACTCAATTAAGAAAATTACATTTCATGTCATTGAGATTCTCTGATTAGTTTTTTCCCCATTCAGTTCAGAATGGAGTTCAATAATGCTTTATAACACATATCAGAAATTTTTTCTATAAAGGACCTAATAGTAAATATTTTAGGCTGTGTAGACCAGATGGTCTCTGTCTCAACTCCTCAACTTTTGCTGTAGTGCAAAAGCAGTTGCTGACAATAAATAAATGAGTGTGACACTATGTTTTAATAAAACTTAGTCACTGAAATTTGGATTTCATATAATTTTTTACATGGCTTGAAATTATATTCTCTTTTGAATTTTTCCAAACATTAAAAGATATAACAACTAAGCCTGGTTTGTATACCACAGAAGAACAGGAAAGTGCTAGCTAGATCTGGCCTATAAACTGTAGAGTGCCAACCTGATTTAGAATACAATCCTTCTGACATCACTGTAGGGAAATTGGGTAATATCACCCTCCCCATTTCTTACTTAGAGCATTAGTGCCCAAAGAGACTTCAGAGACTTCAGAGGACTTCTCTGTCCTCCTCCTTTCCTCTACTTTATAAATGACAGGGTTTCAGCATAGAGAGGGAAAATGATTGGCTTGAGTCCACATAGTCAGGGAGTGATAATGCCAAGCTGGAGCTCGGGTATCTTAAGTCCTTCCTACCTTCCTCTATCCAGTTCCTAAAACAAAAATTTTAAACTACATCCACAGCCACAAAATCCTTCTACCACTTCTCACTAGCAGTTAATCTTTTATTTTTTACTCTAAAGGATTTTATTCTAATAAACACCTTAAAATTAAGGACTCACTAAGCTCAAGTCTTGATGTTTAATTTGCATCATTAAAACCTGAACAATGCAATTAACAGGGACAACTACATTGTAAATTGGAGAGTTTTGATTAGTGAGTTGACATGATGATATCTGTGGGAATATTATACAGATAATTAAAATTAGTTAAATACTGAAATGCCATTAAGGTCTCCAAATTCCAAAGTCTATGGAAGATCTCCAAAGCAAATTATATTCCATAATTTCAAGGACAAAGGGAATGGCAGTTCAGTTATAAGTAGCAGAGGACTCACCTCTGTGGCTTAGACTGAAGCCAGTGGAGTTGGCCAGTATGTGGGGGGCTCCAGGCCAGAGTTCAGGGTCTCACTGCAGTGAAGGTCTGGAACACAAGCTCCAGGTGAGCCAAGTCCGTTTCTCTTCTCTGCAAAAGGAGATTACTGGGAACTGATCTCTGACTTTTTAGGGTACCTATTCCAGCAGCTTTCAGACCATTCTTCGAAAAACAACTTTAAGGATTTCCCCCCATCGGAAGCCCCATCAGAAGGTACTCACCTTTGTCCACTGGATGACTATCGTCTCATCTGCTCTGAGCCTGTCTCTTCGGTTTGGAGTTATTAACATTCTGGATGTAATGAATTCATTGAAAGTACTATTCTCTAAACTGTTAAACAATTGAAAAGTCAACAAGGGCAACCAATGTTTATGCATGAGTCAGAAGTGTTTAAAATGCAGACATTTATAAAAAGTCCTAGGAATAAGAGATTCCCAGACTAATTTATTACCTACATATTTCAATTTTCTTTGGAAGTTCCAATTCTCAGAAAACATTTATCAAGTTATCCTACTATCTTTTAGGTTATTTCCCTCATTTTGCAGATCGCAACTCAGTGGAATTTGAATGACTTGTTGCCAAGGTCACATGTAGAATATAAATCTAAGTAATTCATGATTTCAGCTCTCTCTCCTGCCATTTGTTAGACTGAATCGGAGGGAGGTTTGGTGAGGATTTTGACAGGCTTATTTGGAGACTGACTGCATATTTGATGCTCTCTACTACCCCCTGTTGATATGAGAAGGGAAGAGCAAATCTAAAGACCAGTAATTGGTCCTGGGTACAGCAGTTTCCACATCACCTGGAAACTGGAAATCCAAACTGTGGGGCCCCATCCCAGAACACGGAATTAGAAGCTCTGCGGGTGGGGCTCAGCAGTCTGTTTTTTTTCCACAAAGCCTGCGAGTGAGTCTGCTGCAACTCAATATGACTTTTCTGCTTCAGGTGTTAATGTCCTGGCCCCCTAATTATCATAACAATGATAAAGTCTTCACACCACTTCTATCCTCAGGCCTCACATGTAGTATATACCACTCTGCCATAAATAAAAAGTGCTTCCATGTCCATTCATTCTTGTGGGTGAGTTTGTAGCCCTGTGAGGTAAGCTAGGAAGAGAACGACTACATCTCCATTTTATAGGTAAGACTGAGGCTCCCAAAAGGCCAGGTAACTTTCCCAGGGTCGGTCACTCTGAGTGGCAGAGCTGGACTCAGATCCAAGTCTTCTATCTTTACGTCCATGTCCAGGGCCTCTTCAATTACTCCACAACAGGGCTCCTGACATTCTGGGCCAGATAATATAGGGTACACTGCTGTGGAAGTACTGTCCTATAGATTGTAGGATGTCTAACAGCATCCCTGGCCTCTACCCCCCAGATGTCAGGAGCACCCTAGTGGTGGCAACCAAGATGTCTCCTAATATTGCTAGTGCTCCCCAAGGGCAAAGTAATCCATGGCTGAGAACCATGGCTCAAAAGTCAACACATAAATGGGAGAAATTTCACAATTCATGTAAATTTTGTACTCTCTGGAGATTATTTAAGAACCAGTAAGTTATTTTTGGCCTCTAGGCCATCAATGAAATGAAGGAACTGGCCTAAATGTTGGTCTCCATGAGCTCCTTAAGAAAGTCTTCACCACTCTTTACGAAAATTAGCAACAATTCTATCATATCATCTGGTGTCCAGTCATTTTATTCAAATTTCCCTCAGCTGTCCCAAGAATGTCTTTTATTTTTTTCATGCTAGGATGCCATCTAGATTCCTAAATTGCTTTTGGTTGCTGTGTCTCTTTAGTCTCTTTTCATCCAGAACAGGGTCAACAGACTATGGCCCATGGGCCACGTCTGGCCTACCACCTGCTCATGTAAATGTGCTTTTCCTGGAACACAACCACACTCTTCCATTTAGGTTTATGATAGCTTTTGTGCTATGATAGCCATTGAATAGTTGTGACAGAGACTAAAATATTTACTACCTTGTCTTTTACAGAAAAAGTTTCCTGATCCGTGACCTAGAGCTATCCTCTCACCTTTATTTTAATATAATACTGACTGCTCAAAGAGTCCAGAACAATTGCTTACAGAAACTCACTTTTTTAGATGTGTCTGATTATAAACATTTATTTATTAAATTTATTGAAATTTCACATACTGTTACATATATTTAAAACTATAAAATGCTAGGAAATTATCAGTGCCCCATTACACAGCATTAAACCATTTTTTATGGGTCAAATTATAAATGAGTTTGAAAGGCAAGCAAGAAATTAGAAAAATAATTACAGTTCCAAGATCATGTCTTTTTTCACATTTTTATTTTTCAGGAACCAGAGAAAAAGAATGTCATGTCTGATATATGGTAGTTTTACTTACAAATGGAGGTAAAACCCTTACTGATCAAGTTTCGCTATCATTTAAATGGAGAAATGAGTAGAAAAACCAGGGGCCTCCTTTGGAAAATCATAATATCTAATTTCAAATATGTGCACCAGAGTGTACAGAAATTCAGATACATACACAAGAGTGCCAACATTCTGAGTTTAGGGCTGTGTACCTAGCAACATGCCTGCTACACAGAAAGTGCTAAACAAATGTCCATGGGATAAATGAACGAGTACCATTCCTTGCACAGCCTGGCAGGGCAGGTTATCATGAAAATATTCACACTAGTTTGTTAGTTTTTTAAATTTTCTTTTTCAGTGTAACAGGCATGCACATCATACTAAAGGCTTGGCCTGTTACTGTTTTTCAGGAGCTCATGCATGTTCATCGAATAGGATCAAGTAACTTGGAACTCAAGTTTAAGGACAGGAATACATTAGTTTTAAGTGTATGGTCATATGGAAAGCTAGATAGTGTCAGCTTCTCCTTCCAGGTAACCTTGGCTAGACTCTAATGAGTAATACCCTCTTCCTACTCTTTGGACACAGTATGTCTAGCCTACTAATCACCTAAGACATAATAAGCAAAACATAAATCATACTGAGAAAAAGCACTACTAACTGAGTTTATCAATTATATAACATGGCTGAGGCTGCATGCAGTATAATTCCTCTCCACTTCTCTAAAATGTCTTTTAACCTACTAAAGAAGATTGGACTTCCCTAAACCACAATTTACATTTTACCACAATCTTTAAGGAAAAAAGTTAATAGTCACCAACTCCAGCACAGCTTACACAAAGGGCACTGAAATTGTTGGTCAGAAATAAGGCTGAAGATCTAAAGAATTCCTGGTTGGTCCTTGAGCAGTGGATTTTTTTCCTGGTTTCCCAGGAAGGACGTGGCCTTTGTGTGGTCGAAGAAAACACTCGGGCTTTTTTTGCCTTTGTCCATGATCCCAGTTCTGTTTTCTATTGGTTTGTATTCCTTGTGTTTTCTGAAAAAGCAATGTATTAGACAGGTATTTAAAAATCTCCAGCTGGAATTATGTTACTTTCTATAATCTTTTACATGCCAAGTACAAATGGATTAATTCCATTTAACATACTCTATGGCTTCTGAGACATTAATGCCTTATGCAAACATTGCTATTTTCTCTTCTTCATGCAAGAAATGTGCATGCTTACTATAATTTAAGATTATACGTTAAACACTAAGCTGACACAATTTTGTAAAGTCACTGGCATCTGGAACCATTTTTAGAATTTAAAAAAATGCAGCGAAATTAATAGTCTAGTTTGGTATTTACTATTCAATGGAAGACTGTCATCCTCCACACCAAATGTTTAAAAGCAAAAAAGGGAGAATGTGTACAGATATTGTGCAGAAATATGCTATTTATCTCTGACAATATACTATATGATTTGAGGTGTCAGGAAGAGCAAGAGCAACTTACCTGTACACCAAAAGGGCAATCACAGTGACAAACACGGTCAGGCAGCCAGTGGAGGCCAGGGCACCATATGCCACTCGTAAAAGGGAGGCTGGGTCTTAAAACAAGCAACACCGTATTAGTGACATCTTCCACCTGGAGGACATGCTGCTTATCATGTAATTAAATAAATGAGGAAGGAAGCTATTAGAAGATATATGGCTCCTTCTGGGCTTTCAGTAATCTTTCCCATTAAATAATACATGGTCTTTGGGTCAGTTTATCTTCCATTTACAGAATGAGTTAGCATGTCTGGAACACTGTGTTAAGGGCTCAAGAGAGGGATGTCACTGTCCTGAAAGATACTGGCTCAGGTCTCAGCTGGCAAGAATCGCCCATGTTGCAAAGGGCTCTGTGATCCTCCTACCCATTCCTCTGGCCTTGTCTCCTACTCCCTACCTTCCAGCTGGGCTAAAATCCTGGGAATTGCCCACCTTCCCCATGTTCTTTCAAATACCCAGGACCTCTGCAGGGTATGTCCTTCCCCTGGCTCATCTCAGGTGTCCACTCCTTCAGGGTGCCCTCCAAACATCTATGAGGACTCCGGGTCACACCTTCCTTTGCCACTATTTTGCTTGTCTCTCCTTTCTTCATCTGCCTTGATTGCAACTTGATTGTGTTGCAATTTCTTTACATATTTCTCTCCTGCTAGACTGTGAAAACCATAAAGCAGGGATTATGTCTTCTCTGCCATCCTGGGACCCAGCACACCAACAAGTCTTATCTCTACCACCAATGTATAGCTGGAGTTTATCTGTTTTCCGTGTATATCATCTGCTACCATTGCAGTCCCAGGGACCAGCTGTCTCCCCTGAGAGGAACTCTTACCTGTCTACCTGCTTCCATTTCTACCTTCCAATGATCCTTACTTCACCAGGCAGTCAGAACAATCTTCTAAAAGCATCAATCAGATCATGCTTCAGACCTGCCAATAGCTCCTATTATGCACAAAATAAAACCCAATCCCTACCAGTGGCCTGCAAGGATCTAAAATAGGGGGCTCATTCTTGAAATTTGGGTCTCAGTGCAGCTGTTCCAAGCGGTAGCTGCCAGGTCACTCTCCACACCCTGACCTTGCTTTATTTTCTTCATCATATGATCAATTTTGTTTATTGTCTGTTTCTTCTCACAAAAGAAGGGGCCTACACCCTCTTGTTTCCCACTCTGTCTAGAACTGTCTATCTCGTGTGTACAGCTCTGCTCTGCTGGGCATGGAGTAGATGCTCAGTGAATATTTGCTGAAAGAATTTCAGGTACTCATGAAATGTTCATTGAATCAATGAATAAAAGTCATTTCAGCAAAAGTATATGGATTTGCTTTTGAACAGTGATCTTTTTCTGACTTTGTGACTTGGAATCAAGTCATCAGTTACGATCCCACTGGATTAAAAGCTTTCTGAGTTTACTTTATTTGGATTTGAAAATGTCTCAGGTCACACCTAAAGTTATCACTCCCTTCAGAAGAATCAAAGGAAAGCAAATATCTAAACATCTAATTCAGGTAAGAGTGCTTTGTCAGCACTGAGGGAGCTTCAGAGAATGGGTGATTACTTTGAAGGCAGTTCTAAAAAAAACCTGCAACTGCACAGGAGGAGTAACACAGCGGTGCCTGGAGGTGGCAGCATTGCTGATCCGTGCCTGCTGGGGTACACACACTCCGGCTACCTCTTTCCACCCCGAGTCCCCAGCTCTCTACCTCAGGCCCCAAGAAGCAAGGTACCTTTGTATCCCTGTTTTTAAATCTGCACCTTGGATCCCACACACATACACATGATTATATGTATGATTACTTAAGCTTTTCTTTCAATAAGTTTAAAGCTATCTTTCATATGGCTAATGAATAAATATATGTTTAAGTATATTTTGCCTTCTGATATAGGATCCCAGTCCAAAGGAGTTATTTGTGAGTTAGTCATTAGATAGTACCTGACAAAACTCAAATTTTAAAGAGCAAAATACAGGCACACCTCAGAGATACTGAGGATTTGGTTCCAGACCACCACCATAAGGGAATAGTGCACTAAAGTGAGTGAAATGAATTTTTGGTTTCCCTGTGCATATAAAAGTCGTGTTGATACTATACTGTAATCTATTAAGTATGCAATAGTATCATGTCTAAAAAACAATGTACTTGCCTTAATTTAAAAATAATAAACTTGTAAAAAATGCTGACCATCACCTGAACTTTTAGCAGTCATGGTCCCTGATCACAGATCACCAAATATAATGATGAAAAGCTTGAAATACTGCATGAATTATGAAAATGTGACACAGAGACATGCAGTGAACAAATACTGTTGGAAAAATGGTACCAAGAGATGTGACCAACACAGGGTTACCACAAACCTTCAATTTGTGAAAAACACAGTATCTATGAAGTGCAATAAAGTGAAATGCAATAGAACGAGGTACGCCTCTAAGTGCTGTAATGCACGCACAATCTGATTATTCCCTTCCATCCGGCCATGTAGAACTTCTAAGAGATAAAGCAGTATCTTACAAAAGTTGGTTTTAGGTGAAATTCAGTTAAGGTCACCAGAATCCTATTTTGGGGGTTAGTGACGATTGGAAGCCACCAGTAAATGAAAATTTCTCAATGAAATTCCTTAGTCCGTTTTGTTAACATTTTACCTCTCTCCAAGGGAGTTAAAGAGTAGTTTTTCTGCTGAACATCTGAGGACTAAATAAGGTAGTTTGTTCCATCTCAGTGTAATGGTTGGTAGGATTTGGAAAAGGGGAAGAGAGGACACATGTAAGCTGTAGGAAGCCAAGACTCCACTGGGTTTCTCATTTCTCTTGTTTCTTGTCTTTGCCCAGGCAGATTCTAATGACACATGATACCGGCCTCCCCTTTGTGATAGTTTAATTGGAGAACATTATTATTTTTTGATATCAGGCTTTGCATTTTCCCCTTCAAATACAAATTTATTTGAGCATGTGGTGATCATGTCCCATTATTACCGGTTCATGATCACAGCTGATTATTTTTATCAAAAGGCTTTTCTTTGGCCACCATTTCAATGGGTCTCTCTCATCCCTTCCCTGAATCGATTTGCTGTTGGATTTAATGCCAGTTCTCAAATCTACATTGACAATAGTTCAATGAATTCTGCACTAAAATAGAATTAAACATTGATTGTAAAGTCTCGTATGTTTTAGGATTGGACACATACATTATCTGCAATAAGGAATGCTCATACAACACAAACCAAAACTCACCTCTGCCAGAAACAGAGACAAGGGTGCTCGTGAGAGCCAGACTTGTTCCATCACCCAGTGTGAGGTTCACACAGTATGTCCCAGACCCGCCAAAGGCCCTCCTCACGGTCAGGAAGCACATGTCACCGAAGTCCACGTCCATGGGGTCGCACACTGTATTCTGGGTGATCCGGCAGGTGGGGTCGGAGATTACAGTACAGACCTCCGTGGGAGTGCTGAGCACCAATGGCACCGACAGAGGGGAATGTAGTATCAGTTTAACAGGGAAACGTGCTCTCTCCTTGCCTAGCCCCACAGCTTCATTCTTTCAGGCAGGTTTTTCTCTATTTTCTGTCATCCTCATTTCACTCCTCTCTCCCAGCTGGTGAGCTTCTTAGCTATTCCTTTTTCTCAAATAAGACCACATTTTTATACCATTCCATTCTCTTGATAAATCTAAACATTTCCATAAATACATTTAATTCACTTTATTATATGCAAATTAGGCAATACATTAACATATTGGTTAATTGGTATAGTATTTTTATATTAATTTGCATTTAGTCTATCACATATAGTTATAACCAAACCAAACTATATAATGCATTAGGAATGCTTTGTAAATTATAAAGAGAGCCAGGATTATGAGGCAGTGCTATTAATAACACCAGGACACAGCCATTCCGCCCTGGCTTCCTGTCACTCTGGAGGAGCCTCAGAGCTTAAAGAGGGGCTTTGAGTCAGACCACAGCCTGTGAGCTGTGCTCTGCTGGGTACCTGCGGTCTACAACGGCAAGTTCTATAATCACCGTGTCTCAGTGACCCTACCTGTAAAATGAGGACTTGGTATGAGAACCGAGGTAAAACATTAAGAATGTGGAAAGTGTACAATCATTAATTATTATTCAACTTCCTCAACTCTAGCAAAACAAGGACAAATACTTCAGAGCACCTGGGAGCATCTTTCCTTGTGGCTTAGTGATGAGCTAGGAATTTAAATCAGCTTAGAAGGGGAGATGGATGTTACCCCAGGCCTGTTTCTCTGATGTGATGTACTCACATCCCTTGGCAGGTGATGACAAAATCCATCAGGGAGTCTCCAGGCTGTGGCACGGGCACCAGAACATCTCTCACCTGGATGATGTTAACCTCTGGAATTCCCTCTAACAAAACAACCCCCAGAGAAAAACGCATCAAAATACAATAGAAACCAAACCAAACCACCCGTTAACCAATCAGAAGGCCAAAAAAATGGAGACAGCCTTCCTGCCACACCAGATTGGGCCTGCACCCCATAGCTTAGGTATGCGCCCATGCAGCATTTTCAAGGTCAAATTGAACTGCTCTTCAGTCCAATCTATCTCTTTATTCCTGGAACCTGTATATATGAGTCAGGACACGGCTTGGGCTTCCGCAGCACTGCCTTCTCTCCTGGGTGCCTGCGGTCAGTGCCCAAACCACACAGCTGTGTGTGGCAGCCCTTTCATTCCCCTTTCTTACACACAAGAAGTGTGACTTTATGAAATTAGCTAGGGGATGAAAAGAGGAAGTTGTGGCAACTTGTTACTGGCCTGCCTTCAAGGCACATTCATTCAGATTTCTGGGGTGCACAGGGCAGGGGCAGGGGGTCCAGACCCCAGGCAGTCTCATTAGTATGTGGCTTATTTCAACCAGAGTGTCTAAGGAAGGATGGAATCGGCAGGTGGGAGTCTAGAATCTAGGAGAGTTTTTGCTCGTGCATGTGTGATATCCCCTGGGACAGACAGTGGGTGGCCCAGCTCCCCACCCTCACCACTCCAGGATCAGCGAAGTAGGTAGGTGGTCTAAGGCGGCTTCTAACATCCTTCCTCCTCTGGTCTTACCTACAATTGTGATGGTGGCTTTAAAGTAACCATATCTGTTAATCTGGCAGTTTTCATCGAGAACATCCCTCAGCTCCAGGGCAGTATCAGCAGCAGGTACTGGGGAGTTTGAATAATGAGATTTTAGATGCTGAGAATGTAAAAGATGTACATGGTATAACCAAAAACCTAAACATATCGGTCTACTTGCTCTTTAGAAAAACCCCCAACAATTTTATACTATGAAATTGCTGCAGCAATTTGAACTAAATGTGTAATAATCCATATAGATGTGAGAGCTATAAGGTATTATGATTGTTCAATTATGTAAGTAAATACAAACCCATATCCAATTTAAACAAAGGAAGGAAATGAAAGGTAGAACCCACATTAAAATGTGTGATACAACAGTCATGATGATATGAAGCAAGTCATCATAGATAAATTCATATTTTAATTTTGGAGGCAGGTATTCAGGACTCAAATTCCAAGCCCTACAATTTTAAAAGCTCTAATTAAGGTGTTGGTGTTCCTTTAACAAGATAAAAAGACTGGAAAGAAAATACGGCACTAAAATATTATTCTTAAATTTCAAAAGGCATGTAAAATGGACCCCATTTTGGGGAAGAGCATCAAAGCTTCTTAAGAGCTGCATCTCTAACACGGTGACCTGTAAGTATGAAGCTGGTTGGAGATTTCTCCAGAGTCAGCTCCCTTAGTGGGTGAGCGTGCCCTGCGACCTCCTTATCAGAGCAGTGCTCATGGCATCTGTGGAAACAAGCGCTCCAAGGCACACACTTTGGGAGACACTGCCTGGGTAAAGCCCAGAAAGGTACCGATGTCTTGTCAGATGCACACGCAGTGGTTTATATCAGCAGGATTAGCTGTGGCAGGCTTTTGCGAATGTCCCGAGTTTCATGGTGGTCCTTTAGAAATCACCTTTGGTAATTTCTGCCCTGGGATTTAATTGATGTGCTCTGCAGCAATAGATTTGTTTGTGCAGTGTATTAGAGATAGCTGGCTCTTCCCAGAAAACTAGAAAACGCCTTCTTTTAAATTTTTTTACAGGCAGAGTTTAGCTGTCAAGTTAGATCATGATGCTACCTTATCTGTTTTCTCACTTCTCTCAACTTCCTAGGGAAGTCAGAAGGTGCTACTTCTAGAGAAATCTGGCTCTGCACCTACAGTGAGGTTGATAGAAGGGCTAAGCAATCTTAAGTCATAAATCAGCTGGAACTGTTGGAAGCCAGAAAACCTGAATGAAACATCAAAATGTTTTTATTTTAACCATTTGGGGAGAAAGCCACCTAAAATATAGTGGACTTTACTCTGTCTTATTTAATTAATTATTTTTATTGAAGTATAGTTGATACAAATTATATTGATTTCAAGTACACAACACAATGATTTGACAGTAATCTACATTAAGTGTTCACACCAATTAGTGTAGTTAGTCTCTGTCAACAGAGAAGGGTATTACAATTACGCTGAAACTGCTGAAGTTTGAACTGTGTAATGATTCATACAGCTGTGAGAATCCATTTACATAAAAATAAAAATAGCAAACCCTATGTATTTATACAATATACTTACAAATGCTTAGAAAAAGACCTAGAAAGAAACACTCCCAACTATTAACAGGGTTTAACTCTTGGAAGGAGAGTGTGAATAGACACTTTAACTTTTATTCTAGACTTCTCTCGTTTTAATTTTTACTACGGAATATGAATTGTAGTTTTATAATTTAAAATATTTCAAAAAGAATCAAAATCAGTTATCACTTATCGTGTCTTGATTTAATTAAGATCTCATTTTAGTAATAATGCACTACTATAGCAGTTAATGATTTATAATGGGTTTTGGTAAAAACAATTCCAAGTCCAGACATCACGAGAGTGTTCCTTGTGGGCTTGGTGATGGCGACCTCTTGTGACCAGTGAGAGCATATCACTCTGTTACCATCCCCTGAACCCTGAGTGCAAAGGTGTACTAATGGCTCAGTGTGGTAGGATGGGGAATTGGACAGAAGCTCTTTCCCAGAGTAGACTCTTAAGAACTTCCTGAATGTCATCACTTACTATTAGTAGAGGGTGGGATTTAATTAATTATACCTTCTATCCAGAATAATTTTAAAGTCTAGAGTCTTTCCCTCTTGCTAGCCAAGAAATACTCTGAAAATACATTCTTTTGAAAACTCCTTTCATATGGTTGTGTTTTCATGTGCTACTTGATAGATGTGGGCAGGGTAGGGAGGAGAATGGAAGTGGGGAGAAATATGGGAGGGGCAGGCAGGAAAGCAGGCGGGGCCTGAATGTTTATAAGGGGCCCATGTGTCTGCTCATAGCTAGAAAAATGGGATACAGATATGTGGCACTAAAAGGGGGAAAGATCTGCACAACAGTGAGGGCCAGTGCAAACTAGGACAGGCAAAGAGCTGTATACAAGTCACCAAATTCTATCTGCAAAGTGACTTCAAGCATATTTTACCTTCTATATCCTACAGCTTAAAATGGTGATTAAGTGGCTTAAAAAATTCACCAGACACAAAATGGAGATACTGCAGAGTCTCTACACAATCCTTTAAACTAGGAATCTAATAATGTAACCTACATGAATATATATATGTATGTGTGTGTATATATATGTATTTATGTGTGTGTGTGTGTATGTGTGTGTATATATATATATATATATATTTAGCTTTTCAATCCCACCTCAAAGATCACTCAGAAAGCACTTACGTAAAGGAAGGGTGGCATTTGGAGGACTGGGTGTAGGCAAAGCACAGGGTCCAGGCACCACAGCTTGCACAGTAAGGTTAAGGCTGAAGGTTCCATTGAGCACATATGTGTGATTCAAAGTGGGCTTGTTGGAAACTAAGAGGCCAGTATTATCCCCGAAGTTCCACTTGTAGTAAATGGCAGACTGATTGAGGAAGTGACTGGGATCATGAATCAGGACATTAAATATAATGGGGATGTCCTTGAGGAAGATTTCATCAGATGAATTTCGATCATTCTTCTGGGACATAGTCACAAATAGAAGAATCTGATCTAAAAGTTATATCCAAAAAAAGAAAGAACACATGATTGCTTGATTTTAATTGGATGGCTTCAATATGCTTTTAGGTTAACAAATTAAAACTAGGGACAATTCAGCATCATTTTCTCTTTTCTGATACAAGTTTTATAGAGTTTTCCCCAAGTTACTCTGGAAAACACAGACATAATACAACATAATTAAATATAAACTTGGGAAGGAACCCGGATGAACTGTAGCCGAACCCAGAACACTTGTCTGTAACTCTTAACCCACTAACATCACTAGAACTAAGTGCCTCCCACTCAGCTAACTTAGAGTCCACCCCACTCACCTGTTACCACATACATGTCTTCCACTCTTGCAATGGGAACATAGGCCCGTTTCTGTCTTCTATAGACAGTTACTTCCATGAGTTGAGGGCCAAGAGTCACATTGGCTGTATCTACAGAAACTCTCGCTGAACACCGTCCCAATTTCTGGAAATACTGACCTTTGAGGGGATGGAAAATTTTAATTATTGGCTATATAACATGATCATTACAGGAAGGTATTTCTTAATGTTTAGTAACTGCTGCTTAGAGCTCTGGAAAGGGAAAACCAGGATGAGGTCCTGGCTGCTTCAGAAAGGAAGATGGTGCTCATTCTTATGTAAAACCTTTTAAAACAAACCAACAGTTATATAAATGTAATTGCATATAGTTGGTTAAAAGGAAAAGAGCTGGTTAGTGGGATAATACAGTTAGCCCTTTGTTTACAAACTTAGTTTTTATGAGTATGTGATTAGGCACTTGAAATATCTGTGTTTTCCACAGAAAATACATTTAATGTAATGGTGAGGTGTCCAAGGGAGTTAAAAAAAATTTATCCCAAAATAGTATTTTTTGTAAGAATATTACTATTTCAGCTATATTATCAAGGAGATTTTTTTTTTTTTAGGGGATGCGAATCTTCTACCTTCTAATAGTATTTGTATATAAAAATCTAGTAAGTAATGAAAAGAAAAAGAAACAGAGTGGTTCTATAAACCCATTTCTTGGACACCCTTGAGTCATTTGTTTTCTTTCTCCAACACTAACTTAAATCTGTCACTGGCAAGCTAGTGAAAGCAATTCCTTTCCTTCAGGGGTCAGAGATATTTTGTAAAAGTCCAACCAAGTGTGTGAAAGATGTAGACAAAGTTCCATTTCTTCCATCCTGGGCTGTGAGGGAAAGGCTTTCCATCAGGGAACACATCACGATGGTCTCGGCTGGGGCTGTTCCCCCAGTCACCGTCCTCTGTCCAGTTGTAAACATACAGCTCAGGAGAAGGAACAGTATCTAAACAAAGAAAGAAGCCATGCTTGTCGTCTGGGCTTAGGATGCCCAGTGCTTATCACTGAATTAAACATTTTTCATACTTTTCACAATTATAAATATAGTTGGACAACTAAAACCCTAAGGTTCAGAATTAAGCCAACAGTACATATTTATGACTGTGCACATTCTGCATATGTTATATTTCAATTAAATTTTATATAAAGCAATTATTCAGGAAGGTTCAGTGTAGGTTATGACAATATATGTATCTACATATTGGGGTTTCCAAATCATAAACATATTCAAACCAAACTGAGGGACACTTTATCTTTTTTTTTGTCTGTAGCTTTCTTTCCAGACACATTTGACATCGTGACTCTGCACTCCTCAAGACTTTAGCACACATCTCCTAAAAATAAGGACATTCTCGTACATAACATCATTACTACTGCTACTAATGAAGGTGCTCATACTACATTTGGCATTTTCTTTCTTCAAAAGATTCACAAATAAAAAGAAAGGAAGGAATGGAAAGAGGAAAGGAGAAAGAGAAAAAGAAAGAGAGAGAGAAAGAAAGAGAGAAAGAGAGAGAAAGCAAGCCAGCAAACAGAAAAATGTTACAATTGTTGGATCTAGGTAGACGGTATTTGGATGCTCGGTGTACTCTGCTTTCTACAAGTCATCATCAATATATTTTTATCTAGAACTATCCCCTCACTCCCATGATTTTTTTATTTTACTGGAATTTTTGAAGGATCTTTTTATTTATCAAGCTATTAGAGTCATTATTATTTTTATTCTTATATTGCCCCATATGGCCAATGGGAATCCCTTCAAGTTGGTTTCTGGGTTTTTGTCACATGTCCCCATAAGTCTTTGGGTATTTCCTTACCTTCTGGCACAATAAGATGTCCCAGACTCACCTGGTACTTCTGCCCTAAACCTGGAATTACCATTTCTTCCTAGATTCCTACTTCATTTTAGTGGTAATAGATATTTTACAAAAAATTTCACAAGTCACAATGACTCCTTTAAAAATGCTCAGAGGGGAGGATAAGATGGAGGTGTGAGAGGTGAGACAGAGACTTCCTCCTAAAACCACATATAATACGAAAATATAATTAATACAACTAATCCTGAAAGAGCAACAGGAAAGAGGACTAGGCCAGACTGCATACACCTGGAGAAAAGAATAAACCTCATGGAACAGGGTAAGGTACCAAAGCTGTGACCTGGTGGGACCCAAGCCCTTCCCCCACCCCAGCTCACTGGCAGGAGGAAGAAAAATGGAGCAGGGAGGGAGTGGAGGCCTGAGACTGCTGAACACCTAGCTCTGGAGCTCTGCTCTGGGAGCACAAACCTACATTTCATGGTGCTTGCATAGTTCTCTCATGATTAGGGGGGTTGGAAAGCTAAGACAGGCCAAATTCCTTGAGAGAGTGAGATTCCAGCTGCTTGTGGAAAGCAGGGGTCCATATCCAGGTGCTCTGGGACAAAAGAAAGGCGGGCAGTCTGAGAGACTTCCTAACGGCAAGAGGGCTGTTAAGGGGGCAAGGATTGCACAGAGCTTATTGCTTAGGAGAAAGGACAGGTAGACAAAGTTGACCGAGTGCACTCTGCCCAACAGGTTGGGAACTTCTATGATCTTCAGGTAGTCCAGCCCCTGGCTGGCTACACAGCTCCAAGGCCCCCCACCATGATACACAGCCTACTGGCCTTTCTCCCAGCCAGTCCCACCTGGCTTGCAAACCATCAAGCCCTGCCCTGGCATTAGGCCAGACAGAGGGAAGCCCCATCTACAGCAGCTACAAACACAAAGCATAAAGACTTATACCTCTGTGCTTGGCCCACTGGTTCTGGCAGTGGAGACAGGCATAGCAGCTGGGAAGCAGGAAACAGCTCTTTCCTTCCCCCAGGCACCAACACGCTCCCCTGTGACCCCCAACATTGTTTCAGGGGCTGAGGAGCTCCCGAGAGTAGAGCTTCTGGACGCTAGAGGGCGCCACATATAAATATGAAACATCAAAGGAACCTGGTTCAAAGCAAAATTATGAACATAACACCAGAGAAAGATTCAAATGAAATTGACCTCATGAATCTTCCTGAACGAGATTTCAAAATAAAAATCATTAACATACGCATGGAGGTACAGGAAAATATTCAAGAACTCAGGAATGGATTCTGGTTGGAGATCCAATCATTACGGAACACATTATCAGAAATGAAACATAAAATGGAAGGTTTTAAGAGCAGATTAGATATGGTAGAGGAGATGATAAATGAAATAGAAATTAGAGAAGAGGAATATAAAGAAGCTGAGGCACAGAGAGAAAAAAGGATCTCTAAGAATGAATGAATATTGAGAGAACTGTGTGACCAATCCAAACAGAAAAATATTTGCATTGTAGGGGTACCAGAAGAAGAAGAAGAGAGAAAAAGGGATAGAAAGTGTCTTTGAGGAGGTAATTGCTGAAAACGTCCCCAATCTGGGGAAGGAGTTTCTCAGACCATGGAGGTACACAGATCTCCCAACGCAAGGGACCCAAGGAAGACAACACCAAGACATATAGTAATTAAAATGGCAAAGATCAAAGATAAAGACAGAGTATTAAAAGCAGCCAGAGAGAGAAATAAGATCACATTAAAAGGAAAACCCATCAGGCTATCATCAGACTTCTCAAGATAAACTCTACAGGCCAGAAGGGAGTGGCATGATGTATTTATTGCAATGAAGCAGAAGGGCCTCAAACCAAGGATACTTTATCCAGCAAAGTTATCATTTAAATTTGAAGGAGGGATTAAACAATTTCCAGATAAGCAAAAGCTGAGAGAATTTACCTCCCACAAACCATCTCTACAGTGCATTTTGGAGGGACTGCTATAGATGGAAGTGTTCCTAAGGTTTAATAGCTGTCACCAGAGGTAACAAAACCACAGTAAAGAAAGTAGAACAGTTAATTACTAAGCAAATGCAAAATTAAATTAACTATCCCCAAAGTCAATCAAGGGATAGACAAAAAGTACAGAATATGATACTTAATATATAAAGAATAGAGGAGGAATAAAAAAGAGAAGAAAAAAAGAACCTTTAGATTGTGTTTGTAATAGCATACTAAGTGAGTTAAGTTGGACTCTTAGAGAGTAAGGAAGTTACCCTTGAACCTCTGGTAACCACGAATCTAAAGCCTGCAATGGCAATAAGTACATACCTATCGATAATCACCCTAAATGTAAATGGTCTCAATGCACCAATCAAAAGACACAGTGTCACTGAATGGATAAAAAAACAAGACCCATCTATATGCTGCCTACAAGAGACTCACCTCAAACCCAAAAATATATACAGACTAAAAGTGAAAGAATGGAAAAAGATATTTCATGCGACTAATAGGGAGAAAAAAGCTGGATTTGCAGTACTTGTATCAGACAAAATAGACTTCAAAACAGAGTCACAAAAGACAAAGAAGGACATTATGTAATGATAAAGGGCTCAATCCAAAAAAGAAGATATAACCATTATAAATATCTCTGCACCCAACACAGGAGCACCTACATATGTGAAACAAATGCTAACAGAATTAAAAGGGGAAATAGAATGCAAGGCATTCATTCTAGGAGACTTCAACACTCCACTCACTCCAAAGGACAGATCAACCAGACACAAAATTAGTTAAGGAGACAGAGTCACTGAACAACACATTAGAACAGATGGAACTAACAGACATCTAGAGAACTCTACACCCAAAAGCAGCAGAATACACATTCTTCTTAATTGCATAAAGAACATCTTCAAGAATAGACCATATACTAGGCCCAAAAAAGAGCCTCAGTAAATTCAAAAAGATTGAAACTGTACCAACCAGTTTCTCAGACCACAAAGGTATGAAATTAGAAATAAATTACCAAAGAAAATGAAAAATCCCACAAACACATGGAGGTTTGACAACATGCTCCTAAATAACCAATGGATCAATAACCAAATAAAAACAGAGATCAAGTAATATATAGAGACAAATGACAACAATAATTCAACACTACAAAATCTGTGGGATGCAGCCAAGGCCATGCTAAGAGGAAAGTATATTGCAATACAGGCCTACCTCAGGAAAGAAGAACAATCCCATGTAAACAGTCTAAACTCACAATTAATGAAACTAGAAAAAGAAAAACAAATGAGGCCCAAAGTCAGTAGAAGGAGGGACATAATGAAGATTAGAGCATAAATAAATAAAATTAAGAATAAAACAATAGAAAGAATCAATGAAAGCAAGAGCTGGTTCTTTGAGAAAATAAACAAAATAGATAAATCCGTAGTGAGACTTATCAAGAAAAAAAGAGATTCTACACACATAAACAGAATCAGAAATAAGAAGGGAAAAATCACTAGGGACACCACAGAAATACAAAGAATTATTAGAGAATACTATGAAAAATTATATGCTAACAAACTGGACAACCTAGAAAAAATGGACAGCTTTCTAGAAAATACAACCTTCCAAGGCTGATGCAGGGAGAAACAGAAAATCTGAACAGACCAATTAACAGCAACAAAATTGAATTGGTAATCAAAAACTACCTAAGAACAAAACCCCTGGACCAAAAGGCTTCCCTGGACCAGATGGCTTCACCTTGAATTTTATCAAACATTTAGTGAAGACCTAATAGTTATCCTCTTTAAAGTTTTCCAAAACATAGAAGAGGGAATACTCCAAACTCATTCTATGAGGCCAGCATCACTCTAATACCAAAACCAGGCAAAGACACCACAAAAAAATAAAATTACAGAACAATATTCCTGATGAACATAGATGCAAAAATACTCAACAAAATATTAGCAAACTGAATTCAAAAATACATCAGAAAGATCATTCATCATGATCAAGAAGGATTTATTCCAGGGATGCAAGGATGGTACAACATTTGAAAATCCATCAATATCATCCACCACATCAACAAAAAGAGGGACAAAAACCACATGATCATCTCCATAGATGCTGAAAAAGCACTCGACAAAATTCAACATCTATTCATGATAAAAACTCTCAACAAAACGGGTATAGAGGGCAAGTTCCTCAACATAATAACATATATGATATATATGACAAACCCACAGTCAACATTATACTTAACAGCAAGAAGCTGAAAGCTTTTCCTTTAAGATTGGGAGCAAAACAAGGATGCCCACTTTCTTCACTTCTATTCAACATAGTACTGGAGGTTCTGGCTATGGGAATCAGACAACACAAAGAAATAAAAGGCATCCAGACTGGCAAGGAAAAAGTTAAACTGTCCCTGTTGCAGATAACATGATATTGTACATAAAAAACTCAGAAGAATCCACTCCAAAACTACTAGAACTAATATCTGAATTCAGCAAAGTTGCAAGATACAAAATTAATGCACAAAAATCTGTTGCATTCCTATACAACACTTATGATGAACAAGCAGAAAGAGAAATCAGGAAAGCAATTCCATTCAGTTGCATCAAAAAGAGTAAAATACCTAGGAATAAACCTAACCAAGGAAGTGAAAGACCTATACTCTGAAAACAACAAGACACTCATGAGAGAAATTAAAGAAGATACCAATAAATGGAAACTCATCCCATGCTCATGGATAGGAAGAATTAATATTGTCAAAATGGCCATCCTGCCTAAAGCAGTCTACAGAGTCAATGCAATTCCTATCAAAATGCCAACAGCATTCTTCAACAAACTACAGTAAATCATTCTAAAATTCATATGGAACCACAAAAGACCCCAAATAGCCAAAGCAATCCTGACAAGGAAGAATAAAGCAGGGGGAATTACACTTCCCAACCTAAAGCTCTACTACAAAGCCACAGTAATCAAGACAATTTGGTACCAGCACAAGAACAGACCCATAGACCAATGGAACCGACTAGAGAGCCCCGATATAAACCCAACCATAAATGATCAAGTAATATATGATAAAGGAGTCTTGGACGTACAATGGGAAAATGACAGACTCTTCAACAACTAGTGTCGGCAAAACTGGACAGCTACATGCAAGAGAATGAAACTGGATAATTGTTTAACCCCATACACAAAAGTAAACTCAAAATGGATCAAAGACCTGAATGTAAGTCATGAAACCATAAAACTCTTAGAAGAGAACATAGGCAAAAATCTCCTGAATATAAACATGAGCAACTTCTTCCTGAACTCATCTCCTTGAGCAAGGGCAACAAAAGCAAAAATGAACACATGGGACTACATCAAACTAAAAAGCTTCTGTAAGGAAAAGGACACCATCAACAGAACAAAAAGGCAGCCTACAGTACAGGAGAATATATTCATAAGTGACATATCTGACAAGGGGTTAACATCCAAAGTATATAAAGAACTCACATGCCTCAACACCCAAAAAGCAAATAACCCTATTAAAAAATGGGTGGAGGATATGAAGAGACAATTCTCCAAAGAAAAAATTAAGATGGCCAACAGACACATGAAAAGATGCTCCACATCACTAATCATCTGGGAAATGCAAATTAAAACCACACCAGCAAGGATGGTCAGCATTGAAAAGACTAAGAATAACAAATGCTGGAGAGGATGCGGAGAAAGGGGAACCCTCCTGTACTGCTGTTGGGAATATAAACTAGTTCAATGATTGTAGAAAGCAATATGGAGGTTCCTCAAGAAACTAAAAATAGAAATACTATTTGACCTGGGAATCCCACTCCATGGAGTTTACCCAAAGAATACAAGTTCTCAGATTTAAAAAGACATATGCACCCTTATGTTTATCACAGCATTATTTATAATAGCCAAGACATGGAAGCAACCTAAGTGTCCAACAGTAGATGAATGGATAAAGAAGATGTGGTACATATACACAATGGAATATTATTCAGCTGTAAGAAAGAAACAAACCCTACCATTTGCAACAACATGGATGGAGCTGGAGGATATTACACTCACTAAAATAAGCCCGGCAGAGAAAGGCAAGTGCCAAATGATTTCCCTCATTTGTGGTGTATAACAACAAAGCAAAATTGAAGGAACAAAACAGCAGCAGACTCACAGAACCCAAGAATGGACTAACAGTTACCAAAGGAAAAGGGACTGGGGAGGATGGGGGCGAAGGGAGAGATAAGGGGAAGAAAAGGCATTACAATTAGCACACATAATGTGGGGGGGGGGCACGGGGAAGGCAGTATAACACAGAGAAGACAAGTAGTGATTCTATAGCATCTTACTATGCTGATGGACAGTGACTGCAATGGTGTATGTGGTGGGGACTTGATAATGGGGGGTCTAGTAACCATAATGTTGCTAATGTAATTGTACATTAATGATACCAAAAAAAACCCCAAAAACTGAAGGAACAAAACAGCAGCAGACTCACAGACTCCAAGAAGGGACTAGTGGTTACCAAAGGGGAGGGGTGTGTGAGAGTGGGTCAGGATGGAGGGAGATGGAGATTGAGGGGTACTATGTTTAGTACTGGTGTGAGGGGTCACCAGGAAAACCGTGTACCACAGAGAAGGTGAATCTGTGGCATCTTGCTGCACTGATGGACAGTGACTGCACTGGGGTATGGGTGGGGACTTGATAATATGAGTAAATGTAGTAACCACATTGTTTTTTCATGTGAAATCTTCATAAGAGTGTATATCAATAATACCTTAATAAAAAGTTTAAAAAGAAATGCTCAGAGTGCTAGACTGTTATTTGAAACATTCATAAGAATCAGTTTTAGAAGAGAAAAAAAACAAACTATTAAACACTTAACACTTAAAATATCAAATGCTTTCTATATAGAATCTCATGTTTTCCTAACAAGATGATAAATTAATAAGGAATAAACACATCGACAGTTTAACTGATGCTTTAATTAATAAAATCAGATCATAAGTGTATTTAATAGTCTCGCCACTGATTGAAGAATCTCAATAATTAACTCAGAGTTTTTGAGAATGTACAATCCTAACAAGATAATTTCCCTCAGTATATTTATGTTCATTTGTACTCTTAAACATGTACAGAGAGCTTATGTGCTTTAACTCAGAGCAAAGCAAAACCAAAATATGCACATTTTAGTATTTATGCTAGCCACACATTTGCTTAAGAAATACTTGTGAGAAGAAATCAATCTGGTCAGTAAATATCTGTCAAATTAGCAATTCTTTGAATAGCCAAATAATTTCAAATAGCAAAACCAAAATCTGACAGTCAACAAGGTATGCTCTGTCTAATCAACTGGACAGTAAGAAAAAGCTGAGTGTAACAACATAGCTTTTAAAGAGGGTTCCTAGCCACAGAGCCACCAGTCTGCTGACGGGGCTCTGGCTAACGTGATGTTGATGAATGCACTGGGTGGAACCACACACTCACCCTCCCTGTCATCCAACTTGAGGAGGGGCTGACCTGGGATGATAACAGCATCTTGGATTTACAGAAGTCCCTGTGAGCATCAAGGTTTATGAGATGTGTCTCCAGTAGTGAGGAGAACTAGTGTGCTCTTGGGAAATGAGTAACATTCCTTACCATTTCTGCAGTTCCTCTCATAGACTATGTTGCCGTCGGCATCTTCCTTTTGGCATCTGGGGAATACCAAGTTCACCACGAACGTTATAGTTGAGCCCACCAATGCTGGTGAATCACTGGTCAGAACCGCCTGCACATGGCCTCCTAGGGCAGAGACATGCAGAGCTCAATGATCAAGCATCTCTTTTTCCTTTCACTGATAAATAAAGTTAAATTTACTAATAAGGACCATATGCTGCTTTATGATAAATTCATTTATTTTCTGGATTTCTAACTTTCACTTTCAGAGTACAATATTTTAGAAGACAAAAAAATCAGAGCAAATAAAGAATTCTGTAAACACAGAAGGAACATTTAACTAAAATAATTTTTAAAAATTTTAATTGGATGGAGACAAGTATTAAAGGTATGTATTTTATATCTCAAAACCAAAGACTGAAGGATTCATTCTTTCCTCTGAATGAAAAGATACTTGCTTTCCAACAAACCATACTTCTGAGATCAAACACTTCTCTGGAATCTCATCTTATAAAGATGACCATTCCCACATTAGTTCAGACTATACTGCTCATCTCCAAATCTTCCAAGATTTACAAACTTGTAAATTTCTAAGGGAATTAAACTTTTATTTTGTTGGTTTAGAAAGTGATAATGTTGAGGTAAAGGAAATATTGCCAAATCCAGGGACCTTCCTTTGGTCAGTAGTGTACTGTCACTCACAGAAGCAATGTAAGCCAAGTGATCTCCCAAGTCTACAGTCTGTAAGACTAACTTCAGTGGGACATGACAGTTACTTAGGTTGAATCTTTGGATTTACCTTTCCAGGAGTTTTTCCACCTTGAGTCTCCCCTCTTCCACACTGGATAGAGTTTTTCATTCCAGTCATTTTCATCTGAAGACCAACCATTTAATTGGTTATGCTCCCTCATATAATCAGTTCTTTCATTGCTCAGCATATCGTGAAATTCTATAACATTCGAAAAACAAATTATTTTGTCCACTCCATTCCTCATTTAGTATTTACCTAGTAATAGTTAAAGCAACTTTTCATTTCATATAGTTAGAAAATACATAATAGTTCTAATACATCAAGCAAATGGGAAGTTTTTTTAATGTCTACTAGAAATGCCTTAAATACAAGTATTTGGACCCTATTGCTTTATGTGTTTTAAATTAATGAAGGGAAAAATTTGAAAGTTGGTATTTCTTAGCCATAATTTGGTTTCTTAATACATAACCTCTGAATATTTGGATTTGATACAGTGTCATTAGGATATCACTGATGCCAATAATCTTTACACCACCAGTTTTTGCATCCTTTCCCATTCTGAACTGTTCGGTTGGCTAAAGGAGTGCTAGCCTCAGGAATGCCTCTAGGATACCAAGAGATGCATACCAGTACTAGAGAGCTCACTGTTAAACAATGTCGTTTTTTAAATGGCTGAGCAAATGGTCTGTCTTGGTGAATGTTCTACAGATACTTATGTTGTCTACAAAAGAGTGTTTTTTTTAATGTCATTTATGTCAAGGTGGCTGATAGTGTTTTCTGAGTCTTCTATATGCCTGTTGATATTCTATTTGTTATTTCACTTACTGAGATAAGAATACTGAAATCTTCAATTATGGATTTGTCAATTTGCCAATTTCAGTTCTGTCAGTTTTTCCTTAATATATTTTATAGCTCTGTTTAGAATCGTGAAGTCTTCTAAACTGTTGGTGGGAATGCAAATTGGTACAGCCACTTTGGAAAGCAGTATGGAGGTTCCTCAAAAAACTAAAAATAGAAATATTATATGACCTAGTAATTCTACTTTTAGAAATTCACCCAAAGAAAACAAAACCCCTGATTCAAAAATATATATGCACCCCTATGTTTATCACTGCATTATTTACAATAGCCAAGATGTGGAAGTAACCTAAGTGTCCATCAATAGATGAATGGATAAAGAAAATGTGGTACATATATACAATGGAATATTATTCAGCCATGAAAAATAAACCCTGCCATTTGCAACAACATAGGTGGACCTAGAGGGTTATGCTAAGTGAAATAAGCCAGGTGGAGAAAGACAAATAGCACATGATTTCACTTACTTAAAGAATCTAAAAACAAAACAAAACAAAATGAACAAAATAGCATAGGCTCATAGAGACTAAGAAGTGACTGGTGCTTACCATGGTGAATGGGTGGGAGGGTGAGGAGGATAAAGGGGCACAAAAATACTCATTCATAATATAAATTGGTCATGGGGGTAGTAGTAGAGCATGGAGAATATAGCCAATGATCCTGTAACATCTTCTATTTTCACAGATAGAACTACATTCCTGGGGGTAAGGAGTTAATAATATAGGTAACTGTTGAACCACTGGGCTGTATACTTGAGACCAGTGTAAGATTGTATATAAATGATACTTCAAAAAAAAAAAAAGAATTGTTAAGTCTTCTCCCATGAATTGATCTGTTTATCACAAGGAACTGACCTTTATCTCTAGTAATATTCCTTATTCTGAAGTATACTCTAATATTAATATTTAGTGTTTAACTGGTACATCTTTTTCCATTCTTCTAACTTTAACTTATATACATTTTTATATTTGAAATGGTTTTCTTATTGATGGCATATTTTTTCTTTTTTAAATAATCTGGTCCGACAATCTCTTTTATTTTGAATGCTTAGGTAATTTACATTTAATGTAATTATTGATATTGTGGGATTAAAGTGTGCCATCTTGTTTTCTATTTGTCCCATCTGTTCTCTATTCCTTTTTTATTTTCCTGTATTTTTGGGATTATTTTTAGAATACATTTTATCTCCACTATTGGCTTATTAGCCATATCTTTTTGTTTTGTTTTGTGGTTGCACCAAGGTTTATAATACTCTAGTTATTTTTAAATTATTTCCAATCTTGAATTGATGTCTTTTTTGCCTTGCCTGACATCTTCAGCTGTCACGTGGTCTTGCCTCAGAGAATTGTAGCCCACAGTTGTCTACCAGAGCCATTTTCTGTCTATACTCCTCTTTTTTCCCTGTTGTAGAGCATCTATAACAGCTCAAAGTTCCGGAGGCTTACTCTCCCACCTTCCCTTATAGTTCGGACAGGAGCAGATGATTAGAGCCTAGCCAATAGCAGCTGAGAGGCAATCCTTTGGGGACTTTTGGGCAAGGTTTTCCTCCTGCATAACAAGAAACTCGTGAGAGCAAAGTGCATGTTTTCTCCAGAATTGATTTTGGAGATGGCAGTCTAATGATGTGATGGCTGGAGTTACAACAGCCCTACTTAATCATGAAAGCATGCATCTGAGGAAGCAAGACAAGATACAAAGCATGTCAGAATGAAGGATAAAAAGAGTTCTTGGTGTTGTTGAGCCCTTGCCTACCTCTAGCCTGATTGAGATAGTAAATATCTTACACAATCTCAGTTGTCAATAACCCTCAGCCAGCCCCTAACCATACACTCTCATAAATTGTTCTTTCATCAATTCATATGGTCTTGTGGCTTGGCCTGGCCCTGGGTACTTAGAACCAGAAATGCTGTCCTCTCTTAAGTCCTGGAAGAGCCCCTCCACAAAGTGTGGTATTTGGTAGGTGTTCAGAGAAGCCATATTAATTGGATACCACTAATCTGTCTTCTTTTCCTTCCTTCTGGTAGGTGGAAGGAGCGACATGTTGCTCCCTTCTTAAAGGGGAGGCAGATAGAATGGGAAAGAACACTGAACTGGGAGTCATAGAATCTAGTTTGTACTCTTGGTTCTCCTACTAAACAGGCTGTGCAACTTCAGGCCATGTCTTCTCTGAGCCCTCAAATCAGACAAAATCCAAATGTCCTGTGATTTTGTGAGGTAGTGTCTGTTTCCAAATAGGAACAAAGTGACAGCAGGAAATGCATGTTTATCAATGTTTACAACTCGACATTCACTCAAACTGAGTCATAGGATGGGAGAATGTTCTATCTGGAAAGAACGTAGGTAAGTTAGTTCAAATCCCTTCATTTTATACATAAAGAAATTCAGGCCTAGAGAAGTGATATGATTTACTCAGGGTCATGTCTGAGTAGAAATGAAGATTCACATCTTTTGATTCCCAGGTCCACCATTCTGAAACGTCTGCCCCTTGCTCAGATCCTGAGAGAAAGTCAGTGTTTCCGGAAACATAATCAAAACACTGATTTTGATTTTAAATGTTGGAAGTCAAGGAAAAATACAAACTTAAAAGGAGTGATAAGGAATAGACACAAGTCCATGGAAAAGAATAGAGAACACAGAAATAGACTCAGAAAAATGCCCTATTGAATTTTGACAGAGATGCAAAAATAATTCAATGGAGGAAAGAGGCTTTTCAACAAATGGTGTTACAAAAAAGTTAAAAACATGGAAAAACCTCAGGCTCTAGGCTGGGCAAGAATTTAGATTTAACATAAAAAAACAATCCATAAAAGAAAAAGATGATAAATTTGACCTCATTACAGTAAAAACTTGTGCTCTGCCAAATACCATGTGAAGAGGATGAAAAGGCAATTACAAACTGGGAGAAAATATGTGCAAACTGCATTTCCAATAAAGGCATATTATCTAGAATACATAAGGAATTTTTGAAACTCAATGTTAAAGGACAAATGAATTTTTTTTAAATGGGTAAAAGACTTGGGCATTTCACTGAAGAGGATGTAAAGGTGGCAAAGGAACACAGGATAAGATGTTCGATAACATTAACCAGCAGGAAAATGCATATTAAAACCACAGTGAGATATCTTTATACAACCATTAGAATGACTAAAATTAAAAATGACACATTAAATGTAGGTGAGGATGTGAAGAAACTGGCACTCACATTGCTGGTGGAAATGTATAATGGTATAGTATATTGCCTAAGAAAGTTTGGCAGTTTCTTGTAAAACTAACATGTAATTACCATGCAACCAACCAATTCTCCTTGGGCATTTGTCCTAGAGAAATGGAAACTTATGATTCACATAAAAACCTGTACGTGAACATTCGTAGCAGCTTATTTGTAATAGCCCAACCTAGAACAACCCAGTGGGTAAACGTGAGACTGAGGACATCCACACTATCGAATACTAGTTGATTAAAAAAAGAACAGATTATTGACATATGTAACAACTTCAACAAATCATGTTGGGTAAAAAATCCAATCCCCAAGGATTACACACTGTAATGATTCCATTTACGTAACATTTTTGAAGTGACAAAATTATAAAAACATTTAATTAGTGGTTGGCTGTGGTGTGAAAAAGGGAAGTATGAGGTATCCTTGTGGTGATGGATCTGTTCTGTATTTCTACTGTATCAATGCCAACGTCCTTGTGAGAGTGTACAATAGTTTGTCAAAACATTGCCATTGGATCAATCTGGGTACAGGGTACAGAGAGATCTCTTTGTATTATTTCTTAAAACTGAATGTGAATCTACAATGACCTCAAAATAAAAAGTTGAATTAAAAAAATAGAGTAACATAGACCCCATAGTAGAAGACTTTAAGAGAAAAAAAATAAAGGTGTATGTGGCAAGGGAATACATGAAGGCAAATGGTGTCACACCCAGTGCGACTGTGGCTTTTCCCTGTCTACTGGGGACTCCCTGCTCTGTTCACCAGCAGAGAGGTGGTGGCCAGGCAGCTCTTGCCAACTACTTTGTCAACACTTTCTCTTCTTTTCACCAAGGCTACAATTGGAAAGTGGCAAGAAATCCCTCAGTGTTTGATACACTACTAAATGCTACCCATCTGCATTTTTTCTGGCCAGAATATTTAGTCCAGGGCAAGGTAAAGCCAGGAATGTAAGGTTTTGTTATATTGCCCAGTAGGCTGGGCCTCTCAACTTCATAATCTGTTGTTCTGAGCAGAGCCAAGAGGCGCTGGGGGAAAGAAGGCTAGAATTAGGTGCATGGGTCTCCACTGACCCGTCAGTCCTCTGCCCCTCCGCTCCCAGGCTGCAGACTCTGGGGGAGGCTGTCCTGGGAGGTACGCTGAGAGGAGCCAGGTGCTACTGAGTACTCTCCCACTCCATGCTTTTTTTTTTTTTTTTGAGAGGGCATCTCTCATATTTATTGATCAAATGGTTGTTAACAACAATAAAATTCTGTATAGGGGACTCAATGCACAATCATTAATCAACCCCAAGCCTAGTTCTCAACAGTCTCCAATCTTCTGAAGCATAAAGAACAAGTTCTTACATGGTGAACAAATTCTTACATAGTAAATAAGTTATTACAGGGTGAACAGTGCAAGGGCATTCATCACAGAAACTTTCGGTTTTGATCACGCATTATGAACTATAAACAATCAGGTCAAATATGAATATTCGTTTGATTTTTATATTTGATTCATATGTGAATCCCATATTTCTCCCTTATTATTGTTATTATTATTATTATTATTTTTAATAAAATGCTGGAGTGGTAGGTAGATGCAAGATAAAGGTAGAAAACATAGTTTACTGCTGTAAGAGGGCAAATGCAGATGATCAGGTGTGTGCCTATAGACTAAGTATTAATCCAAGCTAGACAAGGGCAACAAAACATCCATGGATGCAGAAGATTTCTCTCAAAACAAGGGGGTTGGGGTTCTAAGCCTCACCTCTGTTGATCCCCAATTTTTCACCTGATGGCCCCCCTGTGACTGTGCCTGTCTTAGGTTGTTCCTCCCTTGAGGAATCTTACCTGTCTCTGGATAACCAGTCATCTTCCGGGGCCATACAGGGAAATGTAAAGTTGATAAGTGACAGAGAAGCAATATTGTTTGAAAAGGTTAGCTTTTTACTTCTTTGCAGATTTATGCCCTGTGGCTTTTATGCCCAGCATTTGTCTTGAGGTATCTTTACCACTTGGAAGAATTATGATACTCGGTAATTTCGTTATGAGGCACGAATTCTACTTAAGGGTTGTAATTAGGAAGGAAGAAGAAAAGCTATAGAAGTAGCAGACGGAAGAAAACATGGGAAGATTGATTATTTCTTTGACATATCTTCTTGTAGAGTATCCACGCATCTTTTATTAGCTCTCATAAGAACCCCATTACCCAGTTTTGCAAACGATGCAATGAAAGCTCGGGGCAGCTGAATCACTTGCGCAGCCCCACAGCGGGCAGGGAACCCGAGTGTGCCCAACTGCAGGAAGGAGAGCGGTTGGCGTGCAAGCCTCTTTCTCCCTCTTCCCTCCTGTGTGGCCTCGGGTGAGCTACTTGTCTCTGTGGCCCGCTCCTGACTGGGAAACGGGACCGTCACAGAGCCAGCCTCTGTGTGAGCCAGGCATCCGACCCGCGGCGCTCGGGCGCGGTCCCGGCGGCTGGGCTCCCTCTGCAGGACACCGGGTCTTCGACCGCCCGCGTCCCGGGCGTCGGCGGCGCGGGGTTTCCCAGGACCCGCAGGGCCCCAGCCTTCGGCCTCGGTTGCTGCGAGCGGCCTGGTCCCGCCTCTGCCCCCCAAGCCCCTCCCCACCGGGGCCAGCGCCCCTTCTCAGCCCTCCCACCCCCAACCCCGGACCTCTCCAGCTCCGGGAAACCCGCGCGCCCCCGGCTACCAGCAGGTCCCCTCTTCCTCTCTCCACGCAGCTATCGCCCCAAATCCCACCCTCGAGGACAACCTAATGGAAGGGCTATTCGTTCCCGCAAGGAGCAGGAATGAAATGAGAAGGTGCACTGGCGCCCCAGGTCGCATACCAGGATTCTTCTCTCTCAGAACTGGGCCAGTCAAACAAGACCTGGGCTCTTGGTTTCCTACCTGCTGAAGAGGGAGCGGACCATCTACTCGGCCAAGGTACTCGCGGGAATTACCTGAGCAACGTAAGCAAGCAGCCATCCTAGAGACTGCACATGGTGGGCCAGGGGTAGATGCGGGTCCCTCCCCAGCACCTCCAGCAAGCGTCAGGCAGAATCAGGACCCTGGACTTTGCACCCAGTGAATGTCACCGCTCTGTTGGAGTGAGGTGGAGTGGCCCTTCTGGGCTATGTGCTTCTCTTTCTTCTCCCACTGCACACTAACTCTGCCTGGAGGATGAGGGCCTCCATCCCATGGACTAGACAAGCGGCCTGCAGGCCAGTTGAATGGTTCACAACCCTGGCTTCACATTCCAAACGCAAGAGGAGCTTTTAAAAGAAGGGTGCTCCTGCCTCACCCCCGGAGATCAGGGTTTCATTGACCTGGGCATCAGCGCTGCCAACAAGTCTTCGGCTTCCAATACGGAACTAGAATAGAGAGACCAGGGCTTCATCTCTCGGTACCCTGGCTCGAGCAGCAGCAAGCTCCTGCAAGTCTGGGAAGAACAGTCAGCTGGCTTAGCAGCTGCTTCTGGGCTGGGATGATTAGCGAGCATGTCTCTAGCGTTGTACCCTATTTCATCTGAGCTTTCTACCCTATTGGATAGAAACCAGACAAAGTTTAGTGGGTTGCACTGCTTTGTTCTCAGGCCAGAGGCTGTTCCCCTCACACCCCCACCCTCCCACTGTCTGGCAAGAGAGGAGGTGGCAATTGTGATGGGAAAAAAAACTCCGTAAGACAGGGGCTGTGTGGTTACTACTTTCCAAGGGTCCAAAGCAAAGAATGGAGCTGGAGGTGTTTTGCTGTAGTTTCAACATTCCCATCACTTTCCAGAAGAAGAAATGAGTGAACATGAACACATCCTGGGGAGTTTCATGAATTCCAGCTTCTGGCTCAGCGTTACCTCACACCACATGTCATTTCAGCCAATAGCTAGAGAACGGGTTAAACACAAATTGAGCTTACTCACGTTTAGCAGTATCCAGTGGCAGTCTTGTAACCAGAAGCAGAAATCCTAGGAAACAGCATAGACGTTTCATGCTGGAGTCTCTCAGACCCAGGCACTCAAGGTTCAACTTGTAACTCCTCTGGCTCCATCCACTAAGGACAACAGTCCTTCTCTGGCCTCTACTGCACCCTGCTCCTTACTGTAATTTAATTCAGGGCCTTGGGGCAGATCATGTGATGGCTTAAGCAGCATTGCCTGATCTGGTCTCCCGAGTTCAACCTCTTAAAACTCGTGCTTCTGACTCACTCACTCTTAGCATCTATTTATTCACTTTTCAGATGCACACTGTTTCAGGGTTGTGATTCCACATTTCTAATTAAGGGACTTCCTCTCCTGTGGACTCTATTTCAATATCCTTCACCAAGTAAGATTTCAATTTCCAACGTTATCACCTTGCTATGTTGCTGTTCCTTTACTGATTCAGCTCACCCAGCTCCTGTTGAGATGTCACAGTTATGTCTCTTTCTCTTGTTATTTAGATGACCAGCACGTCCCAGTGCTACTTAATGCTTGAACGTTCCCTTCCCCCAAGCGGAGAAGTAGCTCTTCAAATCACTTGAAATTGTGGATTCTTACATGGATAATAGCAGAGGTTGTGCCAGAAGGTGCTTGAAACAGTTGCACAGGCCTCCACTAGCTGAGCAAGTCTGTGAAAAACAGACTTAGGATATCTGCATAATTCCATGTAACTCTTGGAACAACCTGCAGAATTTTTGGTAAAGTGCTGTTAAAGCATTTATGTGTTATATCACTCAGGGCCAATTGCGTAAGACATACTGTGTATTTCATGTTACAGAAAACAGACATTAAATGCAAAAACAGGCTTGCCTGGAACATACATTTGATATAATCAAATCATGTCTGGTTACAGAATGTACAGAAAATGCAGCAACATGAACACTTTATTGCATGTGTTCTCTAAGTCACATCCACATGACCATTTCCAGTACATACAGAAGTCCTGGTTGAGGCCAGGGTGAAATTTGGAGTGCTGATTGATGTTTCAGTTGTGCTAATGAGGAATAGATAAAAAGAATCTGGGAAACTGAACTCCATCTGCAGATGTAGCCAACTCCCTCCCCTAAGGACACACACAGCTCTTTAGAGTGCCTTTTTTTTTAAAGCCTTTGAAACAAATATGAAGGGAACATATTATTCACAATAAAAACAAAACTGTTTTCAAATACAGATGAATAAACAAATAATCGAAGTGTTTATTAGTTTTATGTAATGTGAATAACCTATATAGTTATATTTGTTTGTTACAACAAATGTGTAACTTTCATAATTCAAAAAAAAAAGCTTTCAGTTTAGGGAAAACTCACTACTGATATTTTTAAGTATTATTGCCCCCCCCCCTTTTTTTTGCTGACAATTAGTCCTGGCTTGGGTTTTTGGCCAGATTAGCTACCTCTGTCTCTAAATAAATTGAAACTCTCAAACTCATTTGTAACAAAACCTTAATTAATAGGGAGATGGACACAGTGATCAAATCTTTTATGTCTTCTCTTCTTCCCTCCCTGTCAAGGGGCAGGGGCTAAGGCAATAGGCAAAAAGGTAGGCAGCCGGATGGAGGTAAAGAAGAAAGCAGTTCTTAATTGCAAAGCACTGCACATTGGATAATCTGTGCCTTGATAATCAACAGTTGACCACATATTAAGTTGTTTACTTTGTAGGACTCAGATACAGAGCTATTCTTGATAAGGAATATCCTCAAGGTTTTGTTTCATTTTGTAATAAAATCATAGTGTGAGTTAAATTTGACATAGTTCATTGAAGGAAGGGAACCATCTCAATTACTTGGTATCATTGACAAGATCATTTTGTTTGGAAACAATACTGATAAAAGAGTCAACATTTTAAAAATGTACTAAATTGCCTCTAGGCATCCTGGTTTCTGACATCCCTTGTGGTGGCTGCAGTCCCAGCCTGAGCAGAACCTGAGCTGTAATGACTGCAGCAGCTGCCCCCAGGGGGACATGTGAGGAGGCAGGTGGCAATGAGACTCAAAAGTCATGGCAGGCAGCAGAGGAGTTAACATTTTTAATTTTAGGAGTTTCTCCATTCAAACTGGTGTTTTTATGCAAGATAATACAAATTAACATCCCTTTCTCCCCAACTCTTGTAAACAGCTATTGTATTAGTTCCCTATTACACCTGCAACAAATCGCAAAACCTTGGAGGCTTAAAACCCCACAAATCTGGGGTCAGAAGTCAGAAGTCTGAAATGGGTGTCACTGGACCTAAATCAACTGTTAGCAGAGCAGATCTAGTCAAGAATCTATTTCCCTGCCTTTTCCAGCTTCTAGAAGCCTTCTCATAGCTCCTGGCTCATGCCTGTGTTCCCGTTCAGAGCTAGCAATGGCTGGTGAAGCTTTTCTTACACCGAACCACTGAGACTGATTCTCCTTCCTCTCTCACTTATAAGGATGCTTGTGATTACATTGGGCTCACCTGAAAATCCAGATTAATTTCCTTGTCTTAATGTAAGTTGATTAGCAACCTAATGCCATCTGCAACCTTAATTCCTCCTTCCTTGCCATACAACATACTCACAGGTCCCAGGGATTAGGGTGTAGGCATCTTGGGGAGCCATTATTCTGTCTATCACAGTTACACACTAGTTATGATTTAGCAAAACATTCTATTTATGAAGAGTGTGTGATGAAAACAGTGTTGGGAAGTACCTCTCAAAGATTACAAGACTTGTTGAAATAAAGCCTTTAATATTTGGCAGAGCAGAAAGGCAGAATAAATTAAAGAATCAGTTCAGAGAGAGAAAGCCCATGTGACTGCCTTGTCCTAATGTGGGTTTTTTATGTGTTAATAATACGAGTCACAGTTTTTAGATGTAAGCATTAACAAATGACTCAGAGACTTATGTTTTGTGTCTAGTTTTTCAGTCTCTCTTTTCTGGGTGCTCTGTACATGAATAAGTATTTAAACTCCCTTGTTTCCAGGTTTACTAAGTTTTGAAATTACTCTTTCATAAAAATATTTTTCCTAGGTTTTCAGGGATGAAAAAATGAATTGCAAAAGTCAGTCCATCTTTTTCTGGCCATCCTTACAATCGCAAAGCATCAATGGCAGTCTTATTTTTAGCCTGATTTTCAACCTGATGGAATTGGACACTAGATTTGGGTTTTCTTTTTGAGTGCTGGCTGCAAACATTTTTTTTGACATAACTTCTTATGGAGTTACTAGTTTGAAATTAGAAAGAGCAGTAGGTATAGAAAAATGTGGATTATCACACTGTTTAAATCCCAGTTTTGTTTTTAAAGTACTTTCTCTGAATTATTAATGTAGGAGGAGAGTAAGACGTGAGAGTTTACTGTGTGGATGTGGAAGCAATATGAATATGCTCCTTTCTTTTCTGCCTTTGGTGCCCACTGAACAGTGGAACAGAGAAGGGAGAAATAGAATGGGCTCTATGGTGAGAGAAAGAAGAGAGGGGGCTAAAATAGAAATGTGGATGGACACTGGCTTCCACTTTTATGGTAATTATGGATTATCTGGAAATGCCTCAGAATACTGGAGCAAGGGCATTGCACTCATTCACTGGAGATCAATTGCAAACCCAAGAGAGAAGAAGCTAAAGCAGAAATCAGAAGGGATTTTGACTATAGTAGAAAGGCCAGGAAGTGAGAAGAGCATCTTGGATCTTTATTCTCACAACTAAATTCAGCTTTTTCTCAATGAAATTTTAAAGCACTTTAGATAGAATTTAATTCAGCAAGTGCCAATGGTGGTCTGTATTTCTATGGTAGCCACCATCCACTAAGGCATGAATGACATTCTCTGACTTCAAAGGAACATAAGATCTCTTCGGGAGGATAAGACATTAACCCATAAAACAGGTAAAAATATGAGACATTACTTGAAATTTTTTATTCTGGAAACTTTCAAACACACAAAAGTAGAATAACAGTCTTATGAACCCATAGGTTACTTCAGTGATCATCACTGTATGACCAATTTTGTCTCACCCACCCCCCTACCCACACCATTTTCTGCTGGATTATTTTTGGTACATGGCATTTAAATTAGTCATGCAGATAGAGCTAAAGGAGTTCAGAGAAGATGGAAGATGCAGAAAAGTCTCTATGGAAAAAATTATAACTTGATTTAGTTCTTGAATGATGAATTTAGTTGGATAAGCAGAGAGGAGGCATGGTTCCAGATGGGAGGAGTAATATGAATAGAAGAAAGAACATTAAAAAAAAGAAGGAATGAAGTACTGATACAATGTAGATTAACTTTAAAAGCATTAAACTAAGTGAAAGAAAACAGACACAAAAGGCCACATATTGTCCGATACGATTTATATGAAATGACGAGAATAGGCACATCCATAGAAAGAAATTGGTGATTGCCAAGGGCTATAGGAAGGAGAGAATGGGGAATATCTGCTAAAGGGGTGGGGGGTTTATTTTGGTATGATGAAAATGTTTGGGAACTAGACAGAGGTGGTCAGTGCATAACACTGTGAATATGCTAAATGCTGCTGAATTGTTCACTTTAAAATGGTTAATGATGTTATGTGAATTTCACCTTGGTTGAAAAAAGACATGATTCTTTTTTGAACATTAATGACTAATTCCACAATAACCTTCGTCAGGTGCACCAGGCATGATGCTAGAGACTGAGGATAGAATGGAGAGGAAGGCTCCTGGATTTTGGGGCTTACAGTCCAGCTGGAGGCAGCAGCCAGGTGAAGAAGCATGTGTAGGAGCTTTGATAGAAATGCATCAGGTGTGCGGCAGGTGCATAAAGAAAGGGACTGTCCTGTGCCATATGAAAAGCACTGTCCAATACAAATCTAATGTGAGCCACATCTGTGATTTAAAATGTCCTGGTAGCCACGTGAAGAAAAGTAAAGAGAAACAGTTGACATTATTTTAATATTATGCATTATTTAACTCAATATCCCTAAAACATCATTTCAGCATATAACCAACATATAAGATTATTAACAAGATCTTTCACGTTCTTTTCTCACACAGTCTTTGAAATCCAGTGTGTGTTTTACTCTTACAGCACATGTCAGTTTAGGCCAGCACATTGCAGGTGTCCACTGGCAACGTGTGCCAGTGACTGGTGTGCTGGACAGTGCAGCTCTGGAGGGACAGGAAAGCCTCCTTCAGGTGACAAGGCA